GTGTAGATACAAACCTATTCTATAAATTCTAATATACAGATTAAATTACACCATTGATTCTAACCTCCAAGTCAGATCACATAGCATGTAATATAACACCAAAATACTAACCTAAACCAGCAACTTTCATATCTAGATACAACCCTAAGTTTTTGTCTGGAAAAGCCACCCAACTGACCATAGGCTCTGTCACATTGAACACTAACCATCCACTTTTTGCATGTGAGATTTTCTTAGTCTCCACAACAGTACTTTTAATTTCCCTACAAACAGATATAGCCAAAAAAATTTAAACAGATATTATAACATCAAAAATGCAAATAAAAACTAAAAGGTCAGCATCAATACTTAAAATAATATCATTCAACAAACATAATTATTCAAAAGATTTTGATTACGTTCTCTTTAATTTATATATGAAATGAGGTGACTGATAATTGTACAATTTAGTCTTATGATAAAGGAATCAAATCAGAGTCTAGGAATTACAAAAGCAATAAAAAACTTATTGGTTTAAAATTGAATTTTAGGTCTATTAGTCATATGAATTTTTACATAACTTTAAGTCAGTCTCTTATAAAAAGGTACATCAGTCAACTAGTACATATATTAATGTCTAAAATAAGATAGAAAATTTGTTTAATATACATATATATAGTTTTCTCAGTTTCTATGATACAGCTGAAATTTTAACACAGAGTTATTGTGTGCTTTAAAAAATATGTAATATAACATTTAGTCAATTGTCAAGGTTTTATGTATATATGGGCTGGATTCTTCTAGTAGTGCCTGTGACATGTTGGTGATAAATTCGAACAATAAAGGACTTTGTGGGTTATCACAGTTGTATCCTGAACTTTGAATAATTGTCTCCTTTTTGTCAAAATCCACACAGGCAGGTTTAATTACTTTAGATCACCCTTTAACAAGACAAATTATTTTCCTTGTTTATATTATACAGTGAAACTCACTTTAAAATATCGCCCATTATCTCTAACCACTCACACATAGTCTAACTTCACATTTTCTTTCACTAACTAATTTTCTGACTGAACTGCACTTCATCACCTGTATTTATACTTTGTTCACTGAGGCCTCAAACTTTCTCTAAACTATGTGAGTGGCACTGTAAGGTAACAATACTCACTTAAGGTAATGAGAAAAATACAGAAGAATCGGCATCAACAATACTACAGCAATTGAATCAGACACACAACATATGTCTCTTTGGAGTTACACAACCAAACTTGTCATAACTATTACCTTTAAAATTATTAACTTTAACATCCTTGTTATGAAAACTAAACAATCATTAAATATTAACTCACAAAATAAATTAAATAATAACACCTACACTAAACAGTCTTGTATACACATCATTAGTGTTAATGAAATCAATATTAACTCTAATTTGTTTAAATATTTTAATAAAACTAAAACTAAACTTAAACATAAAACGTATGTGTAAAACAACATAATACCTACATAAAAATATTGGCTACTCAAATAGTTTTGAAAGTATGATATAAATGTCCAAAACAATGGTAATGCAAAGAAATATATATGATTGGAAAAACACTTGTCGCTTGTATGAAAGAATTATTCAAACTATATGTGAGAGGCTGCTATAGGTTTGTTTGTTTATTTTCAGATACTTGCACAAAGTTACTCCAGGGCTATCATTGCTAGCTGTCCTAATTTTAAAGCGATAGACTACAGGGAAGGCAGCTAGTCAACAGCACTCAACACCAACTCTGGGGTTACTCTTGAGTGACCAAATAGTGGGATTTACACATCACCCTTATAATGCACCCACAGCCTTAAAGTGCAAGCATGATTTATTTTAGATACATAGTCCAAGCAATTGTATTAGGAGTTTGAAACCTTCTATTATAGTGTCTAATAAGATGCTGTGATTCTTTTATAACAATGTTTCTAGTAGTAAACAAGTTAACTGTTGTTTGTTTAACTTTTTCATCTCTTGTCTCTATTTACAACAGCATTTGGTTTAGTGCTCATTGTTTAAATAAAATACATAGAAATGTTATTAAGAGAACAGAAAAGTATTAAAGGAATGATTCCTGGTTTAATAAATTAAAACTGGAAATAAAAGCAGAATTTTAAACATATTACAAAAGAAAACAGAAAATATAACTGTATTTTCTTTGGAATAGATGAAAAGCATTCTTTTTTTTAGCTTATGAACTGAAATTTTCATTCTGAGTTGTAGCTTTTTAGAGTGAGTTCTACACTGTACTTAAATATGTTTATTACATGGTTTTGTCTATTAGTTTAGATTTTTCCCCTAAGATTTACTGAAGAAGGTGGTAGATATGAAACGATGATTTTGATAAAGTTAGATACAGAGATGCTTAGGAAGACGCCAGGAGATTCATTGATTTGTCTCTTAACTCTTGGGTTCTTATGTTTCTACTCAAGAAAAGTAATAATGCTTTAAGTACAGAATAATGAAACCCTAGAAATGGAATGAAATTACAGGTAATATTACAGCATCTGTTTTGGAAACTAAAACACTTTTGTTAAACCTGTCTCTGTTTTATGGTACTTTTCCATATTTAGATCAATAAGGATAAAAAAAATTTTGAACTTACTATTTCAATCATAATACAAAGTTGGTCATTATTGGGAAGACAACTCCACATCAACACAGATCTCCACATTCTTCTAGACCAGTGCTTCCCAAACTTCAGTCATTCGCGTACCACCTTCATTTTTGCCATATCTGCATACCACCTGTACTATTATTTATGTCCTACTTAATATTTTTCTTTAAATTGACTCACTTTTTTTTACTTAAATAAATTTATTTTAAAAGGAAATTTCATAACACTAGGATAAATGGGGAACCAGTATCACTTACTACAATATTTATTTCAAAATAACTATTTTCTCATCTCAAAATGACATTGTTATAACAAAGCGGACCAAATGACACGCACGCCCTCTGAATAATAGCCAATGTTTAATTGTTGGCAGATAATGTAATAACCTCATTGAAATTTATTTTTTATTATAATTTTTTTCTAATACACATTAAAATAAATATATAACTATTAAAGTAAAAAAGGCGTCTGCATACCACCTAAAATCATCTCGTGTACCACCAGTGGTACGCGTACCACACTTTGGGAAACACTGTTCTAGACTATCTAACATGAGTTTCAACTTATAGCCATCAGCTTGAGGAATATGTTAAATAGTATAGTTTTTTAAACTTGTCCATGTCAGTTACTTTCTCAGTTTACTAGTTACTGAAAACAAATGTGTTTCTTTTGAAATTAGCTATATCAAATATTTAACAGAAAATCATTGTCTTTCTATAAATGTAAGGTCCACATTATGAACTGAACTACAATTCAGTAGTTCCCAACCTTTTTTTTATGCCATTAACCCCCTGTCAGACCTTTAAGTCAGCAGTGTATCCCTGATACATATAATTTGTTAGAAAATTTAAGATTGGTTTATATTTATGAAAGGGTAAAAGAAATAATTCAAAGGTGAACAAGATAATGTTGAGTGTTGGCTAGTAAAATATGTTAGTAAACTCACCAAAATTACTTCAGTTTTTAGGTGTGTGGTATATTTTCTTTTATAATGTTTTCCAGAGGTTCTTGTGTACCCCCCCCCCCACAGGAGCATGCATAACAAGAGGTTGGGAACCACTGCTACAGCCTAATGTTCTTTTTAATAACTGTTTGAAACCCTACCCAAAAGATGACCCTTCTGTTAAAAAGGATAGATTCAAGGTGTAATTCTCAAACTCTTTGTGGTGGTTCTGGCTAATATCCAGGAAAAGCCGTAACTCAGCTTTCATGATATCCTGTTCTGGTGACACCTCACTGACATCAAACCAAAACCTTCTATGTCTTTCGTGACGGAGATGAGGAGAGCGATGATGGACTATGATAAATAACAGGAAAATATCTCAATAAACTTTTGATTCGTATAAATGGTACTTTCAATAATAATTTGTATATAAAGTGTGTTTGGGCCAGTACATCCAAAATATGCAAATCTTAACATAACAAAACCAAATATCATTTTGAGTGAGGAATTTTCAAAAGATAACCACATTACATAGACATATTTCTGCCATTTATAGCTATAATCATTATTTTTTTGTTAATAAACTTTTAAAAATGTACATTTCCTACAAAAAAATTCATATTTGTCTCCAATAAGCCAATATATAACTATATACATTATTTACTTTCTCTACTAAAATACCCACTAAAACCATGAGAATAATATTACTCAAAAACAAGGCATACTTGTATCTGACGACATAAAGCAAAAACCAAACAAAAAATCTGTACTATATAGAAAAATGAAGAAAAACTTCTTCTTTCAATGGTTGGAGAACAGAACAATGAATAATAAATAAGGATACAAAAATAAAGCCTATTTTATTTACTAGAAAATATACATATATATATATATATATATAATTTTCCTCTTTCAATTCAATATTTAAATTCTATTTTATAAAATAATGATAAATTGTAAAATATATATCTTTATCTTCATAACATAATGAATGAAGTTAATCTTGCTGTCATTTCACTTCTAAAAGCATGTCAATTTTAAATAGCATAGAACATAATTCAAAAATCATTACTACCTTTTTAGGTATATCTCAAAGTTCTATTTCAGGAGATTCAATGTTTATGTCACAAAAGATATTACCACCAGCTTTCTAAAACCTAATTCTCCTGTAGGCTTTTAAAACAAAAGTACTTTTACTAAATTACTTAAAGGTATATGTAAATACTACATATCTCACTCTTTCATAGTATATTCTTCTAAGTCCTATTCTGAATGTCTTAAATCTCAATGAGCACATATACTAAATTTAGTATGAGGTGTTACTCCCTGTAGGCTGTCTCACCAAAGAACTTATCTACTTTTCATCATCCTACTTCACCTTGTGTAAAAGAGCCTACCTTGTTGCTGTTACCTAAACTATGGATATTTCTTCATTCTAGTGCATGTTTTCTGATTGATCAGCTACATACAGTGAAGGTGTTTTGTTATTGCAATTTGGGCACTTTAAAGCAAATTCTTTCTGACATTCAAGGAGGGTAGCTTTGTTTCTATTTTGAAGGAGCCAAAACATGTTTTATAAGTCTTATTCATGTTTATAACATTTTCCAGTCTGCTGATCATGTCATTTTTATTTTCCTTTTATTTGTTAGTTTCATTTAAACACTACTTCCAAGAACCACTTACATTTTGTTACGACAGCGGAAGTCACGTGACGCTGCTGGCACGTTTGGCGCTGGTAACGTGCATGAAATTTCTCGATTGATCATGAATGATCGGGGAGACCCGAGTGCATTCGAGACACCCCTTCTTTAGTATATAAGCTTGGTAGACACGGTAAGTTTCGGACGAAGTTATCGAGATTGTGAATCTCTGTGGTTTATAGAGTGTATTATAAAAGTCATTAAGTTTAAAATGATGAGAAATGTACTGACAGTGGAATTACTGTGTACTAAAAGTTTGTATCAAGAAATAATAAACTTGTTTAATCAAGAAAGGACTTGTATCACTGAAGTTCCTCAGAAAGAAATTCTACCAGAAATTAACAAACAAGCAGATAAGTAACAATTTGAATACAGTTATCTGTACATTTTTAGTTACAAAACAATAGTTTTATCACTATGGACAATCAGATTTTCATCATCAGTTCTTTTCCTCTGAATAAAGTATTTTATTATATTCAAACTTCAACATCAGATCTTGTCTCTTTCAATCCACCTGTAGAAAATCACTACACTAGTTACCTTATATATTAGATTCCCTAATCTCTAGTTTTTGCAGAGATCAAGCAACTGTATGCTAGGTTTATAATTAACCTTGAGATTACTATTTGACTAAAAATGTTAACTATTCAGCAATATTTTACCATCGTAATGCAATATTAGGTCACTCTTAAACAATAAACATATTATGTTCTGGTTTTTGCAAATAATGAAGTGATATTAACCCATTAACTGCGGCAGGAGCAGCTTAGTTGCCATTTTCTGACTCACAGATAAAACTGAGTTGCCATCAATCACAATAAAACAGTGATTTTTGTCATTCGCAGCTGAGCCATAAAACTTCAATGAAAAAATATCCATCATCCGCAGTTAATGGTTTAATATCTAAAATTAGAAATTTATGTAACAAATACTGTTATAATAGTTACTTGATCAAATTATGATTACCTTCAGGTATTACATTTTTGTTAAGTTTTCACTCCTATCTTGAGTCTTATGGTTTGAGAACACAGATGTTTACCTCCACAAAATATGAAATATACTTAGTATACTGCAATTAGCACAGAAAAATATAAAACTGAGTAATGTATTGAAAGTAATAATGAATAACTGAAAAGACCAGAATCTGTTTTCATACAGACATCTGAAAATGTACACAGTGTTTTTGTTCATTATGTTTTGTAATATCTTTCTTGCATATCTCATTTTTTAATTAGCCTTCATATAAAGACAGGATCAACAGCTTTTGATAAACTTGAATACACTTTATTCAGTGTTTACTGAGATTAAAAGTCTAGCAAATGGATCCCTCACTCTACAGTCCAAGTAAAGTGTTTCCTAAAGTCTTGTAGATTATCAAAGTGTTCCCTAACATATTTTAATTTTCTGCACCCAAAAGACTACTAGGTAAGGGCATTGTTCTCTGAAGTTTGTATAAAGTAACCATTAGTGTCTGAAGGCAAAAGAAAAAATTCCCAGAGTTTAAAAGTGTGTATTTTGAAGTCCAGAAGTCTGTCAGAGTGCTTGAAAAAGACTACATCTAATAGTGTAACTCAAAGTTTAGGAGTTTGGTACTAAGTCATTCATAACTAAAAGATCTAGCAAAATATTTCTTAAAGTCTGTAAGTACAACAAACAAAATTTCTCATCTACAAGATCTTTGAAATTGTAAAACTAGTACAGAATTCCCCAAAATATGTAAAGTTTAGATGTTACATAAACTTTTCCCAAAAGTCTCAAAAACAAGGTTTCCATAAAGTCCAAAAGTGTAACTAAGTGATGTCATAATTTGAGTCACAACATTCCAAGGTTGATTAACTGAATGTTATGCATAATCATGTATTGCATTGACTACTGATATTATAGGTATCAGTTGGATATTTCTATAGTTCACCACTACCAGTAAGAAACAGAACAGCTAATTCCTAGGATGACATTCCAATAACTGTAATTTACACCTTAAAAAACGGATGATAGAATATCTATATAGAAGAGTAGTTAAGGTTGCCCCTTCCCAAGACTTTTGTGAAGTTAAGCCAGTGATATATATAAGAGCTAACCAATGCTGAACAATCTTGTATAGTGTTCCAAAAAGTCTAAAAATCTTGTAAAGTGTTCTTAAAAATCTATAAATTACATATATTATACAAAGTCTACTAATCTAATAAACTGTAGTCAAAGTCAAGTACAAAAGTTTAGATTATATTTTTCCAATTTAACAAATCAGGTAGAGTTCCCCTTACTTAGTCCACAAGTCTAGTGTAATTTCACAAATATGAGTAAAATTTACCTTTCAATGCTATACAGCTTATCAATGGCATTACATGTGTCATGTCATTTTATATGAGAACAATTACATGCATCATGTTAGTCTATATCAGGCAACTTAACATTTTATTCTGATTGAATTTTCTAACACATTTTGATGTTAATGTGATTCTGGATATACATAATTTATCTGTTGATCTTAAATCTTATAAGGTTTATATTACTAAAATGCATGGTTTGATGTGTAGTACCTTTTAACTCTCAAAATATATTAAACTAATTTTTATATTGCTCACTGACTTCATGTGTGAACAAATAATATTTCCATCAATATTTATTGATCAGTTATTTCAAAGACAGCTCTCAAAATCAGAATGAAAGCTTGTATGCAATTAAAATAGTTTTAGCATGATGGAAAGCCATTTAATTTACCTTATTGTTGTCCTTACCACATTTTAAAACAATGACATTCAATGGTTTTTATTACTGCACTAGTGGTATGTCATTTGCTGTATTATATATACTACAGAAATGTTATGTTCACTTGTTTCATAATAGTGTTGTAGTCATATGAATTTAGTACCTTGTCAAATAAAATTAATAATTTTTGCATTGCATTCAGAATTTATGCATTAATCTTACTGTTTTCCAGTAATGATGTTAGAACTTTCTTTTATTTTCCCCTTTGGTTTTTGCATATCTTGATAATGAAATTATCATACAGTTACATGAATGGCTAAATTATTGCATTGGTATGCATCATTATGTGGATTCTCAAAATGTCATTTTCTTTTTTTTAGTTAAGCATTGAAATAACTTGAAAGAGCAAGTATGACAAATAATCCTTATATGGTAGCTCTGTTCTTAAATTTATTAAGCATGTCTGTATTAAAGTTTTTTTCTTAATTTTGTTTTTAAGCTTTAACTGACTGTTTGGTACTAATTATTCTGTATTGTTTCTGTACACAAAAATCCAAGGTTATGGGTTCTGCATTATGTTTGTCATCATTACCTCATAGCCCTCAAACTACAGTCTTTTTTATATATCATTCACTACCAATGGGGTTTATATTATGTTACATTGAGTATTTTTATGTTTTTTGTCTGTCATTGCATTTATGTAAAAAAACTGATAAAATACAATGGATGAAATCACTCTGTTTACTCTCAGCAGTAATTAGTGGGAGTAATTACAATGTCAATGTTTTGTGACATACCTATCATGAGGGTCCCTGTTATTCAAAAAGTCATGAACCTACAGTCTGGTGCATAACTAGTTTAGAAAAATGTTTTTGAAAATCCAAAGAGAGTCCATACAGTCTCAGTGGGTAGTTATAGAGCTTTTTTGTAGAAATTCAAAAACAAACA